GCATGTTTAATGCGCAACTTCCGAAGCCATCCAGTCTTGGTTGAGACGTTATCTGCTGCAGCTTACAATCATCAGTTGGTACCGGCATTGAGCGAACGAGACAGGATGATGTGGAAACTTCTAGGGTTTCCAGTGAAGGTAGCCGATATTCCAATACTGTTACTGCATACATCTGGCCGAGAATATCTAACGTTAGAAAGGATTTGGTCGAATGATTTACATAATGAGGTAGCAGTAAAAATGAGGCAGTACATATTGGAGCGACTTCCGGAAGCCAACATTACGATCTTGTGTTATTATTCAGCATCGGTGAAAAGGATCGCGGCATAAGAACCAGGATGTCAAGTTTATAGTATAAACCGATATCAAGGACGAGAATGCGACTTTTCTATAATAGTCACAACGCGAGTGAGGGTGGAGAGGCAACGCCGGAATGTTAATTTTATTTTAGATGCGCCCCGGACGACGGTTGCTCTCTCACGAGCCCGAGGAGTGGTAATCATTGGGAACCAACAATTACTCACTCAATCGGATGTATGGGCAAGATATTTAACCAAATATCCCAGATGTCAGGGCGATCTAGAAGTATTCTATCAATGGCTGGGAGAGTGTGAACGACAGTTGAGGGAAGATCGCTCATATTTTGCGTCGAGGTAAAATGGCCAGTGCCCAGTAAGTTTGGAATATTTGTTAGCAGGTGCTCAGTAAGTTTAAATTTTTGTTTCATTTTTCCTCTTGTTTGTATTTTATTTTAGTCCTTTTCTTTTTTTCTTTTCTTTTCTTTCTTAAAATTCACATTTACTATTATACCTTTTTTATATTCTTTTACTTAATTTTCATTCTTTTCCTTTTCTTTTCCTTTTTTTTTTACCTTTTACTTTATTTTTATTTTTTTCTTCTCTTCTTTTTTTTTTTTTCAAAATTATTTTAAGATCCAGTAATCAAGGAGCCTAGAAAGGTAACGCGAAAAAATACATACGATGTCGCCTAAATATTGTGAAAAGATCCAAAGTTGGACAAAATTTCAGATAAAGAAGGAACAAATAATGAAGAAATTCCGTGATCTAAGTTTATTCGTTTATTTTTTGTTTTGTTGTTTTTATTGATTTGTTTCATTTTTTGTTTAATGTATTTTATCCTTTCATTCAATTTTATATTTTCAATTTCTTCTGTTTGTACTTATTCTACTTAGATCTCAAAATTCTCTGCTAACTACCACCACATTTATCTTCGCCGAAGCGTTTGTCTGTCCGCCCCGGGTCGGAGTGTCGCGGCAGCACGCGAAAGGCTAATGCCCCTTGAGTAAACTAGTGGTCTCTGATGTGCTCCTAAAGGGACGCCTTTGGAGGGTAGACAGTTGGTC